TTATAAGTGTAAAATTTGAACCTTAAAAGATAATAAAGTTTATCAACATCTCAATAACTTCTATGGATCCATGAGAAATGACTATATACTTTACAGTTATGGACTTACGCAAACGACTGACAAAAAGACATATATACAACTTATTAAAACCTGACACATAGACATAATACAACCCGTTATCTAGAAAATTTTATTGTAGTCAGCATTTGGAATAAGACTGAAGTGTATACCCTGAAAACGAGACATTCATCTCGTAGAAACAGATCTTAAATGAAAGTACTTGTGCTTCTTAAACACGATCAGTTCACTTAACTCTTCAATGGAGTGTTCAACCTTATCATTCCAAACACGTAGGCATTCCATTTCTCCAACTGCCGCTTTAAATTTTTTTCACTGGATTATCGTTTTTTTTTCTCACGACATAATGCAGCTATTAGTATTATTTTAATAAGTAAATCCAATATTATAAAAGAGGTTGGTACGGTAATCGTCACTAATTCGTGAAGGACCAGAGATTTAATGAAATACTCACTGCTTTATTCACTAAAAAGGAATCATCCTGAAAGAACGCTTATGCTTCCGTGCTCTAAAAAGGCACTGCCCATAGTTTTTTAAAGTGATTAGCTGCTATTAAAGCTCATCAACATATTGTTCTTAAAACGCACTTATCAGAATAATACTACTATAAAGGTTCCAATTGGTATTTCAAGAAATTCCGCATATACCAATCGAAGCATAACGTTTGATTGCAGTTTCTTTTTTGGTTTGAAAGCGAGACCTATCTGACATCGAATAAAAGTAAAAAATACAGAATTTTTTAATCATATTACTTTTAACGATAACTTTATTCCTTAATTGCCTACTGAGCACATGGAAGCAAGAATTAGCAATTATTTGCTAAATCGTCAGCCTGACAATTTTATTATGGTTTATAACTGTACCGAAAGGGATGCAACCCTCGGCAGGTTCAAAAGTGTAGACAGCGGAAACCAGCTGGCTTTCTGGCTGTAGTTAATTTCTACTAGTGGCCGATATACAATTTTATTATGGTTTATAACTGTACCGAAAGGCATGCAACCCTCGACAGGTTCAAAAGTGTAGACAGCGGAAACCAGCTGGCTTTCTGGCTGTTGTTAATTTCTACTAGTGGCCGATACACAATTTTATTATGGTTTATAACTGTACCAAAAGGTATGTACCCTCGATAGCTTCAAAAGTAAAGTCATCGAAAACCAGCTGGCTTTCCGGCTGTTGTTAATTTCTACTAATGGTCGATATATACTTCGTTTCTTTATTTTTATTAAATTTTTTTTCAATACTTTATTATAATGGACACAATCTTGATGTAGTTTTATATATAATCCTTATAAAAATACAATTAATTTAAAAATATATAGAAATTCTTATAAAATTCCTATAAAATGGTCAATGACTGCTTAAATCATTAACAAAACATAAGTATATAAAT